GTTTTGTGTGAATGTAAGTTTTCGAATCATTTAGATAAACACCAAGGAGCAGCTAGTTGCTGCATCATATTCTAAGAGTGTTTAGTTTGTAAGAAACTGCCTTAACTGTCTTCCCCAAAGTGGCTATACATCTTGCAGTCCCACCAGCAATGACTGGGAGTTCCTGTGACTCCACAGCTCATTACATTTAAACATGCCTTTTAAAGTCCAGAAATTTAAGTTCAGAAGCTAGCACTAAGTCTAATATTCAGCTGCTGCATCCTTGGCTGTGGTAACTTTAAAACATGGCCCTGCCGGTGCAGTGGCTCACACCTGTAATCCCAGCACTTTGGGAGGCCGGGTGGGCGGTCATGGGATCAAGACCATCCTGGCCAACATAGTGAAACCCCCCTGGTCTCTTTACTAAAAATACAAAAATTAGCTGGGTGTGGTGGCACCTGCCTGTGGTCCCAGCTTCTCAGGAGGCTGAGGCAGGAGAATTGCTTGAACCTGGGAGGTGGAGGTTGCAGTGAGCCAAGATCACGCCACTGTACTCAACCCTGGCAACAGAGCGAGACTCCATCTCAAAACAAAAACGAAAACACGGCTCCGATGTTCTTTGACATTCTCCTCAAGAACTGGTGTCTGTGCCCCCTTCTGCCTCTTGATCACACACAGAGTATGACAGAAATGGTGCCTGCCAGTCCTGGGCGCAGGCCCTAAGGAACTGGTGACTTCTGTTTCCTGTCTCTTGGGCCCCAGCTGCCATGCTGTAAGGGAAGTCCAAGAGAGCCTCGTGCAGGGGCCACATGGGAGGAGCCGATACAGACCCGAGAGTGAGCAAGTGTAACTCCGGATCCTCCAGACTCAAGTCATTTCTGGCCTTCACGCTTGCCCTGGCTGCGTGGGGTGCAGATGAGCTGTTTCCCCACTGTGCTCTCTGAATTCCAGACCCACAGGATCTGGGAGTTTGATAAAATGCTTGCTGAATCAAGCCACTCCCCGGGCAGGGGCGGGTGCATAGGTTTGTGGGCTGAACCATGGTAGGAACAGGCAGAGACTGGGGACTGCAGAGGCCTGCACAGCAGGTGGCCCGGGGACCCCCTGGGGAGGTATTCACAAAGGGAAGCTGCAGACAGATTTCCCCATGACGGGCTGGAGGGCTGGGCCGAGGCGTTTCTTCTCTGGATGCTGTGGTCCAGGAAGCAGCCCTCCCCTGCACCCCTCAGGCCTGCCTAATTCTGAGACCTTCTTACTCTCCTGACCATTGTCCTCTGGAGTCACAACTGCCTGTCCAGGCAAGTAGCTGGCGGGAAAGTTTTCACTGGGTCAGTCACCCACAAACATAAAATTTGCACACACATGCACACAAAAGCCACACCACATCCCAGCCCTCTGCTTGAAGTAGCCACCATTTGCTTATATCTGATTCTATGATGCTGTTCTTTGCGAAGAACATTTAGCGGGGCCTTATTTGGGATTTCCTTCTGAATTTCTAGGCCAGCCAAGAAAAGTATAATTCGATATCATATCTCGTTTGGGACCCCAATCTTCTATGCTCAGCTTAGGAGAAACGATGTCATTTCTGAGACTGCCCCAATCACTTCTAACTGAAGAAGCGCTGTGCCCTCAAGGCAAAAGTTTATTACTAGTCAAATACAGGCTTCCATTGATGATCTAAGTGGGCAGTACCTACTCTCCGCCACCTCAGGAAAGGAAACCGCATTCACTCTGACCGGCTGTAACCAAGGGGACGGACTGATGGCAGCTGAGAAGCCGGAGACAGCATGTGGCTGTGCTGTGGTGCGTGGTCTGCTCCCGGGCAGGGGGCTTACCACTGCATGGTTGCCCCCAGGGCTAGACACTTAGATTTGGCTTCACCCGAGCCAGCTCCCTGGCGTGGAAGTGGGTTTTCTCCACATTGGCCACCAGGCCTCTATCCTGGAGTTGGGGTAGGGTTGTTCTCCTTAGACATTCAGCAGTTACACGAAGAACTGTGACCTGTAAGGCATGGAGAGCCACACGCTTGGTGGCAGCTGTCCTGCTGGCGTTTCACAGCTCCTCGTTTCGATACAGATCTAAAGTAATACCAAGAGCTTCTGCCTGCCCAGGAGCCTCCCGGGCTCTGTGTCTTGGCCCTTTCTGCCCTGTAACAGTGTCCCTGAGGCACTGGGAGGGAGCAGGTGCAGTGATGAGCGAGGAGAGAGACAGTATTTCTGGGACAGGAACTGCGCGCCGGGTGGTCACGGGTTCCCTGGCGCCACCATCCCACAAGGATGGGGTCACTGTCCAGGCTGCTTGCTTTTCAGCCACGTCCACACCTAATGACACACGGCGGTCTGAACGGATGGGTCCACACGCGACAGCGAATGTGATCTCAGAGATCTCGGCTTTCCTGCAGTCAGACTCCCCGGCTGGGTCCAACTTCGGCCCGAGCCTGCCATGTTGAGGTCGTCCTCCATCCCTATTCTCCCAGGCAGCCCCTGGCCCACCCCTGCTCGCTGTGCAAGGTGCTTTGTTACAAGGCGTGGGACCTCTCTAGCTCTGCCAGCCACACTGCGGATGCAGCCTCTCGACTTCCTGCCAGCTCCTGTGCAGGCTCCACACTGTAGCTGTGTGTGTGTCTGTATCTGTGTGTGTGTCTTGGGTGTGTCTGTGTGTATCTGTGTGTATCTGCATGTCTGTATATCTGTGTGTGTCTAGCTGTGTGTATCTGTGTGTGTCTGTGGGGGGATGTGTATTTGGGTTAAAGACTGTGTAGTTCTGCCTCTGTATCTGTGTTCTGTGCATGTATCTGTGTATGTCTGTCCGTCTGTGTATCTCTGTGTCTGCGTGTGTATCTGTGTGTGTATATCTGTGTGTATCTGTGTGTTCATGTGTGCGTATCTGTGTGCGTGTATCTGTGTGTGTGTATCTGTGTCTGTATCTCTGTGCGTGTCCGTGTATCTGTGTGTGTGTCTCTGTATCTCTGTGTGTATCTGTGTGTATCTCTATATCTGTATCTGTGTGTGTACTCTGTGTAAAGTCTGTGTATTTGTATATATTTCTGTGTGTCTATGTGTCTGTGTGTATATCTGTGAGTGCATCTGTGTGTATCTCTGTGCCTGTGTGTGTCTCTGTGTGTCTGTGTATCTGCGCAGGTCTTTGTGTGTCATCTGTGATTCTGTGTCCTGCATCTGCGTGGTCTTGTGTATTGCTGTGTCTTGTATCTGTGTCTGTGTAAGATCAGGTTCCCTGGGGTCTGTGTGTGGTGTATCTGTGTGTGCGTGTGTATCTGTGTGTCTGTGTGTACCTGTGTATCTGTGTGTGTGTGTATCTGTGTGTCTGTGTGTACCTGTGTGTGTCTGTGCATTCCGTGTGTGTGTCTGTGTGTGTCTGTGTATGTGTGTATCTGTGTGTGTATCTGTGTGTGTATGTGTGTACCTGTGTGTGTCTGTGTGTCTGTGTGTATCTGTGTGTGTGTATCTGTGTGTGTGTACCTGTGTGTGTCTGTGTATCTCGTGTGTGTCTGTGTGTGTGTGTGTCTGTATCTGTGTGTCTGTGTATCTGTGTGTGTGTATCTGTGTGTGTGTACCTGTGTGTGTGTGTCTGTGTGTGTGTGTGTGTGTGTGTGTGTGTGTGTACCTGTGTGTGTCTGTGCATCTCGTGTGTGTGTATCTGTGTGTGTGTGTGTATCTGTGTGTATTTGTGTGTGTCTGTGTGTGTGTCTGTGTGTCTCTGTGTGTGTGTGTATCTGTGTGTGTGTGTACCTGTGTGTCTGTGTATCTCGTGTGTGTGTGTCTGTGTGTGTGTGTCTGTGTGTGTATCTGTGTGTGTGTACCTGTGTGTATCTGTGTGTATGTGTGTGTGTGTGTATCTGTGTGTGTGTGTACCTGTGTGTGTCTGTGTATCTCGTGTGTCTGTGTGTGTGTGTGTCTGTGTGTGTGCATCTGTGTGTGTGTGTACGTGTGTGTCTGTGTGTGTGTGTGTGTGTGTCTGTGTGTGTGTGTGTCTGTGTGTGTGTATCTGTGTGTGTGTATCTGTGTGTGTGTGTACCTGTGTGTGTGTATCTGTGTATCTGTGTGTGTGTGTGTGTCTGTCTGTCTACCTGTGTGTGTGTGTATCTGTGTGTGTCTGTGTATCTGTGTGTGTGTGTCTGTGTGTGTATCTGTGTGTGTGTGTGTACTGTGTGTGCTCTTATTCCTGTGGTAAAAGGCCTGTGTGTGTGTCTGTGTGTGTATCTGTGTGTGTGTATCTGTGTGTGTGTGTACCTGTGTGTGTGTATCTGTGTGTATCTCTGTGTGTGTGTATCTGTGTGTGTACTCTGTGTGGCTCATCTCAAGTAAATTGTGTGTGTGTGTCTGTGTGTATCTGTGTGTGTATCTGTGTGTGTGTGTACCTGTGTGTGTCTGTGTAGCTCGTGTGTGTGTGTGTGTGTGTGTGTGTGTGTGTGTATCTGTGTGTGTGTATCTGTGTGTGTGTGTATCTGTGTGTGTGTGTACCTGTGTGTGTGTGTATCTGTGTGTGTGTATCTGTGTGTGTCTGTGTGTGTGTCTGTGTCTGTGTCTACCTGTGTGTGTGTGTGTATCTGTGTGTGTGTGTGTATCTGTGTGTGTCTGTGTGTGTGTGTACCTGTGTGTGTCTGTGTATCTTGTGTGTGTGTCTGGGCTGCAGCAGGGGCTGTCGGCAGGTGTAACGTGGCATCCTGGCTGGAGGGCCTCGCTGGGAGGGCCTGAAGCGAACAGAATGTTCACTGCGCATTTTGTTCGTAGGAAAGGCTGCTCTGCGGTCCTGGGCCGCCCCTAGAGGTGAAGCTGAAACTGGTCTCGCGGGAGAGACGGGCGCGGCTCCAGACGGATGCTCTCCGCCTGCGCCTGAGACTCCGCCGCAGCCTGAGCTGCCGGGGGCTGGGGGCGGGGTGAGGAGGGGTGCGCTGTGGGCGGGGCCGGGTTGTAGGCGTGGCCGGGAGGCAAAGCGGGCGGAGCGCAGCCGGGGCGTGCCTGGGTGGGGGACCTGCTGCTGCAGCGCGGGCTTCCTGAGTTCTCACTCGGAAGGCCGCGCCCGCCTCACCATCCAGAGCGGAGATTCGACCTTACACTAACTCCCGGAGGAAAGACCAGCAAGTGCGCAGGTAAAGTGCACTGGCTCTGCAAGTGGTCACGGAGGGAGGTGAGGAGCTGTTTGCCTGGGACCCAGGCAGGAGAGCGACAGCCCCGGCTGAGTCGCGGCTGAAGCAAGGCAAGTTCCCAAAGGTCACTGTGCACAGATCGGGCGCGATGGAGCAGACCTAGCGCGGCTGAGTCCGGGCCGGCCTGCAGCCGGCAGCAGCTGCCCCCTGAGTTTCCACCCCACCCAGCCTCCCTGCCAGGCGCACCCAGAAAAAGTCGCGCCTCTGGTGGGCCATGAGGTCAGCGGGTGGGGGGAGCTTGGGAAGCGTCAGACAGCAATGTTCCACTTGAACCCAGGGCAGCATCTGGCACAGAGGGGCCTCTAGCCGTGGAGCCGGGTCAGGCGTTTAGAATGGAATGCCTGGAGTGAAAACACTAAATCCTCAAAGCTGCTTTCTTTACTGTGGTCACACACAGTGAAATCAGTGGGCATTAGTGCAGCTAGCTCTTTTCAAGGACACAATGTTAAGCACAGGCAGCCTGGTGTGTGGACGCTCTGGGTTTGCAGATGCCCCGGCAGGGGCCAAGGCTCAGACAAGTGCCCGGTGCCCTTCCCCACAGGGCGAACCAGGAGCCTGGAGTCGTGGTGAAGCTCCCCAGGTGATCTCTAACGTGCAGTGCACTTTGAGGAGCACTACTAGACCAATGTGATAGCTCTACAAATGTGTAGATTTAGGGGTGAGTGATTCTGCGGAAAAGAAACCGAGGTTGTTAGCAGTTGTGGGCAGCACCTAAAAACCAGCTGCGGTTTGCCTGCTCGGTGACGGAGCTTCGCGGGCGGGTATGGTGTCTGCCATCCAGACCTCTTCTTGACGGGAGCCTGCCAGGCATGGAGCTGGGCATTGAACGCATCTGGGGATAACTACCTCCTCATGGAGGAACTAATGAGGATTGAACCTGAACACAGAGGTGAAAGAGCTGGAGTAGGACTGCAAAGAATTGCACAAAAACCGCTTGTTCTGCAAATTTAGTTTACAACACTTCTGAGTGCAGTCTACATCGCGTAATGTGAGTTAGGATCATAAGTCCCTAAAATTTCATTACACTGATGAAAAGCAAATGCCTATACTGTTCTTGTTTTATGAGAAGACCAGAACCTCCAGCCCCTGGGGCAGCTGAGATCTGAGGATATCAGGAATACCAGGAATGGGGAGGTCCTGAGCTAAGCATGAGACCTGGTGTATGACACTCTGGGGCTACTCTGGGTCCTGCTGCAAGTGGAGTGGGCAGGCAGCAAGGAAATATTTTGAGTTTGAGACCATATGCATGTTGGAAAGGCTACTGTGGCTGAGTGGTTGGGAGCAGCTGGGGTCAAGTGCCACTGCTGCTGGGCCTTCCCACTGGAGGTGGTTGCTGGTGGCCGGGGCAGGGAAGCACTGGTGAGTTGCAGGTGGGGGATCTCACGTTGGTGATGGGTGATGGATGGATCAGTCACCAGGGCTCCTGGGAAAGGTTAGGTGTGGCTTGTGCACTCTGGAAGTTTTGGGTACCTTTATGTCTAGGGACACAAGAAAGTAGATGGACACAGGGAGTTGAAGCTGCAGAAGAGAGTTAGGGGCCACTCCTGTCCACAGGTGAGGATGAGGTCTTTGGGAGAGTAGAGAGAAAAGGAGGCTTTTAATTGCTAGTAGTGTGGGAAAAGTGGCTTGCAAATGGAGATAAAAGCCACCAGAGAGGAGGAAAGCCCAGAGCCTGGAGGCCGGGGCAGGATCTGGGGCAGGCTGACCCAGTGTAGCATTGCCCATATGCTGGAAGCGTGAGAAGAGACTTCCACAGGCGGAGCTCCCTCAGCTCCCTGGGGCCTCCGGCTGTACCCAGCTCAGCTCCGCTGGCTGTTGGTTTCTGCAGTTTTGATTTGGGGGTTCTGTCACTGACCTTGCACACAGCAGGCTTGTCGCTGGCTGTGGTTTGGCCTGCCACCCGCTGGACCCGAGCAGCTTCTTTTTTCGGGCGGAGCGCGGGTCCGCGGCGTGGTCAGATCTGCGGGGGGTGGTGCGGGCTGGCGACCTGTGTTTTCGTCTCGGCCACCCTGAGGCGTCGGGGCGCAGCCTCGAGGCGGCGGCAGGTCCGTGTTTCGAGAGCGTGGGACAGTTTCCAAGCTGGCCTGAGGACGGCGGGAGGGACGCCGACACCTATGCGGCAGAGCTCGGGCCAACCAAGGCGCAGCTGGGGCAGCTGAGGGGTTTGCGCCGCCGGGAGGGGGCCCGGCCCGGCTGGGAGCGGGTTGTGCGGCCGCGTCCCGGGTGCGCGCTTGCTGGCGCTGCTCGATTCTCCCTTCGGGAGGCATCGCCCGCGGCGGGCGGCCAGTCCCTCGGGGGTCCCTGGGCGCAGTGGCCTCCCGGAGGCCTCCCTCCCGGCCCCGCCCTCCCAGGCTGGAAGGCGCTTAACTTTTTCCAACCGAACAGAAAACAGACGGAAAGCCACGATGTTTGGCTTAACGTTCTAGAAGCTTTTAACCAAGTTCACATGTTGCAGAATCCACCTTGAAGGGATGCACGGTCACACCGGCCTCGGTCCCGGCCCCCTACACTGCCTCCTCAGCGGGACACCTGGTCTCAGCCTGGGGCCGCCTGAGGAGGTTGATCCCCGGACGGGCTGTCAGGCCTTCTTGGCCGCAAGGCTCTCCGCCCCCGCCCTGGGATCCGAACTGTACGAGCGCTTCAAACGCAACGGTCCTGCGGCCACTGCCGGGCTCTGAGGCACGGCCACGCCCCCGGCTCCTGGCCAGCCACGCCTCCGGCTCACAGCCACGCCCCCGCTCACTGCCACGCCCCGGCTCACAGCCACGCCCCAGAGACAGACCGCCTCCAACGACAAGCCACGCCCCCGGAGACACGACCACGCCCCAGGAGACACGGCCACGCCCCGGAGACAAGCCACGCCCCCAGAGACGCGGCCACGCCCCGAGACAAGCCACGCCCCCGGAGACACACATTGACACCTGTGCAGAAGCAGCCAGGCCCGAGACAAGGGCCGGCTCCGAGAGACACAGCGATGCCCCGCGGACTCCAGCCAGGCCCCTACAAGCACAGCCAGGGGCGGTTTCTCGCTAGAGGGACGCTTGGGCTGCGCAGCGTTAGGACGATTTGGGGCTCGAGCAGCGCTTTGTGGGGACGCCAGCATTCAGTGACGGGTGTTTTCTCTGGATGCTGGACACTGTCCACCAGAGGGGAGCTGGCTGCGGAGGGACTGCCTTTGAACAGCCAAGTTTTCACCGCAGCGCGTAAACCTGGTCCTTCTCGCTCCTTGCCAGATGCAGGCCAGATGTTTAAAGAACTCGAATAACAATGTTCTTTTTTTTTTTGAGGCGGAGTTTCTGCTCTTGTTGCCCCGGCGGAGTGCAATGGCGCGATCTCGGCTCCCCGCAACCTCGCCTCCCGGGTTCAAGCAATTCTCCTGCCTCAGTCTCCCGAGTAGCTGGGATTACAGGCACGCACCACCACGCCCGGCTAATTGTCGTGTTTTTTGTAGAGACGGGGTTTCTCCATGTTGGTCAGCCTAACTCAACTCTGACCTCAAGTGATCCGTCGCCTGCCTCCCAGATTGCTGGGATTATAGGTGTGAGCCACCGCGCCCGGCCACAATGTTCTTGGGATGTACGAAGACGCTGTTTTCCACACGCGGCTGGTCGCGCCCGGGTGGAAGTCGAAGCCGTGCGCTTGCTCCTGGCTATCAAGCCGCAGGGCCGCCGAGGTGGGAGGGTCAGCGACTTTCGGCGCACTCCGGGCGGGAGGCGCGAGGGCGGCCACCTGGCTGGGCCCTCCCGCCTCCTGCCGGGCGCCAACCGACTCCGCCAGCCTCGACTCCCCCTGCTCCGAGTCCTCAGAAATCCACTCTGGCGCGCGAGCTTCAGCCCTGCGTGCTAACGGGCGCTGGGCCGGGTACCAGCGGGAAAGGCCGTGGGGCTGACCTCGGGCAGGGCGCGGTGACCCGCCTGGCTGGAGCGCCGGTGCAGCACAGCTCTCGGGGCTGCTCCTGCCTGCCACCCGCACTGCTGGGGCCTTTCTGGGCTGAGCAGGTGACGGTGGTGGAGAAGGCCCAGGCGTGAACCCCCGCCTCCCCGGCAGGGCAGGTGTCAGGACCACGCCAGCGCCGCACTCCCAGCCTCTCTCTCCGTCCTGGTATCGTGCGGTCCCCCACCCCGCCCTGGGTCCGGCCGTGGGAGGCGGGGCTCGGGGCCTCGGGGCCTCGGGCTCCGGGCAGGCTTGGTGAGAGCATGTCCGCGGGTACTCGAAGGCCATGGCTGGGCGTCGAGGGCCTCGGAGAGATGGTGCTGGCAGCAGGAGTGGGCCCGCCCCCATCCTCCCCCACCCCACCCCCCACCCCCACCCCACCTCCCACCCCCCCACTCCCCATCCCCACCTCCCACCCCACCCCCACCTCACGACTCCATACCTCCTCACTCCCCCATCCCCACTCCCACCCCACCTCACACCCACCGCCACTCCCCCATCCCCACTCCCACCCCACCCCACCCTCATTACCCCACCTCATATCCCCCATCCCCTATCTCTACACCCACACTCCACTCCACGACTCCCCCCATCCTCACTCTACCCCACCTCACCCCCACCCCCCACCCCCATCCCCATCCCCATCCCCACTCCCTGCCCCACACCCCCCACTCCCCCACCCCTCACCCCCACACCCTACCCCCATTCCCCGCAGGTCCTGGAGGGTAACACGGCTGCAGGCGGGAAGAGCGCAGAGCTGTAGAGGTGCCGGGTAGCCGCCATTACCTGTAACGATTTGGGGCTGGGTGTGAGGACTGGAAGGTTCCACCGACTTGCACCATCTTTTTTTTTTCCTAAAATAAGCTACAACCATCTATTTTTTCTTTCTAAAATTTGCAGGACGACTTGGTCACTTCGGGGTGTGAGTCTTGCTTGGAAGGAGGGTCCTGGGCGCGCCGCGGGAGTGACCTGGAGGGTGGGGTGGGCTGTCCGCCTCCGCCCCAAAGCCG